GTCTACCACTAGAACTGCATTAAAAAAGCACACAGACTCTAAATTATATGAGCACTAAAAACCGCAAAAACACCTCATTTTAGCTATGCTTAAATGGGATTCATGTAGAAAAAAAAGAACCAACTCGGCCACCCTAAATGCCAATTCAAAATTCTCTCTTCGATCTTTCGGATTGAGTGTTCGAAAATCGAACGAATTTGGTGCGAATCGATGTATCAATGCACAGAATGCCATTCCATCAGCCCAACTGGATGAAAAGTTTCTGATTTCAACCTGAAATAAGCTAGAATTGATCATCCTGTCTTATGATGTCTCAAGCTGTGATGCTGGATAGTCTTAGCGAAATTGATACTTTGTCTGGTTTTATGCATTTCGAAATGTGTAGAAGAAAAACGCTTCAGGGCCGAATCTCTCACCTCAGTATAGATTTTCTTTCTGGATAATTCAACAGAACTACGAAACTCAAAAACAAAGCTTTATAAGTCGCAAACGAAGCATAGGGTCAAAATATTAGACAAGTTAGCGATGCGCTGTATTACAACTTTTGGTACCAAGTCGGTTTTAACCACATACGGGACAAGGTGAATTAAAAACAACCCAAATATAAGACCAGTGGGGATGGAGTTGATGCCATGCTGTAGATGACACATGCGATGAAGCTGTTTGTGTTTCATCCCTTAGCTGTAAACACACACAGAAATTGTCAGTACAGCCTCCTTATCCATTAACTGGAGATAAACTTTTCTATTTAAAGAAATTTTGCTTATTATTTAGAAGGATTATTAATAAAAAAGATAACATTTTTTAAAAAAGAATCTGACTAAAATCTTCGCAAATTTACCGGATAATCCCGAAGTTTATATTGACACCATCGCAAGAGAGCTCGTTTAATGGAAGCTGGATTGAGCGGATTGACTGCTTGAGGTCTGCCGCTGAAATGATGAATAATGACGTCGAAGTGAATTTTGTTATTAGCTCACCCATCAAGATAAAAATATCCATTTTATCAAACTGTATCCATATTTCACCGAAGCTTATTAATAATCTGTTATAGCAGGATTACCAAGACCCATTTCAGCCAATAAGCGCGGGTGTCTCATGTTAGTGATGCTACTACGTTACTATGATTATAGATTGTAAAATTACGAAAATCATGAGTCAATTCTCCATTTGTTTTATTTCTCACTATTCCTTCATAATTTAAAAATCCCTCTACGTGTCCCTCTCCCCAATATTTTCGATTTGAGAGCAAATACGGATAACTTTTTAATTTTTGACTCTAGCTTGCAAAAAATAAGCATGTAATAAAGGAAAAAAGAGACTAACGCTTGGTCCATTTGCTTAAAACCATTAACTTTCGATATCTGGCCGTTATCTGCAATTAATTCTTTAAAATTAGTGGCATAGCAAAATAGGCGAATTGAGCGCATTTGTTTTTCATGAAAATTGTGAAAAAAGTGCAATGTTTTTTCCGGAAATTTATTCAGTTTAAAACATCTGGCGAAAATCAACAGAAACCAAGGATGTCTTGAAACGACTAAAGCCCTGTAAAGTGTTACTATCGAAGGAACTACTAAAATGGTATTCCTCAGAGAAAGTGAAACGAATTGAGGAACGCCAGCAGGCTGACCACCAAGCAGTGTAACAATGGTCAAAATAACCAGCAAAAAAAGATACCCAACGTGTAAAATTGGAAAAATACGTTATGCGCTGTGGCTGATCAGTGTACAAAAATTTCAGAATTACTAAAAATTGCCCTTCGAAATGAGAAACAGTTGCTAGTATTACAGATACCAGTGAGAAACATATGCTAGACACGGTTGCGCCAGGCTTTTCTTTCATAAGATGGCTTGCCTTATCATATCATTAC